TATGATACTGTTTCCTTGTAGCTGTTTGGTACTAATATCCCTCATTTCCTAGAGGTCTTTCTTCCCGTACGATTTTTCATCATTTTTTTTTCCTCAGCCCAACGATATTTGTAATATTACTTTTTAAGACATTATGACAACCAACCTTGTGTAAACTACATTTATTTTTGCTTTTCATTCCATGGTGATATTATATAATCCATCATTGTATAATGTTACACTTTTTCCAGGACTTTTTTCCCGAGTGTTTATTTGAGACTACTTCATGAAACTGTCAGTATGTCGTGATAATGTTAACTACCTCGATGACCTGTCAGGAATCGAAATATATCTAGCATTACTTTCATCACTTAGGTGTGTTAGTGTCCATTTTCCCTTTAACTGTGATTCATGTGTCATTATATCTAAATTCATTAACTTGCATAAGTTAAACCAGTGTCGCACTAGCCACACCGACTATAGTCTGAAGAGCCTCAAAGATAACTGTTGAAGACTTCAGAGATATGCTGGAGGCCAGCCTGTGTATCCCGCAGGATGCCAAAATCCCTGAGTCTCCTGGATGAGTCATCAACCCTTGTGTAGGTCATGACCATCAGCTTCTTCGTGTTGTCGTTGTCTGGTGTGAGTCCTCGATTTGCTGCGAAGTCCTTCATGTACTGCAACAGGACGACCAGGTCACGATCCACTTGGTCGACCTGCTGCAGCATCGTGGTCTCCAGAAGATAGAGATTCTGGTCGAGGAAGAGGTGCTCGAGGGCGACGATGTAGTGTTGCATAAGGCCGTAAGTCCTCACCAATTCATAGGAAAACTCTTTCGGAGTATAGACACCCGGGTTGGGCAGATCGGGTAAATATGGTTCAGGGATTGAACCCGGAGGATAGTCCTTCTGTGCGTCCTTCCACGTCTTGCCCAGTGTGCTCAATACCTGTGGTGTAAACATAAAAGAAATAGAAGATAATACACTTGGACTTGGGAACACTTAGTATAGCTAAAATATTAATGTCAGTTTGTACAATATGACACATCCATATAACCAATGCCAGTTCAGGAATGGATAACTGTGACAAAACCATTCAGGTTATGGCGTTAGAATGAAGATGCAAGGAATAAGCTACGATATCTAACATATTTACATTTTCAATGAAGGACCAAGTCGCTTGGTACTGGTCGATACTCACAAAGTCGTCCTTAAAATCGTCAATATAAGAGGAGCATATTGTGGCTTGTTGCACGAGGATGGTGGACATTTCTGCCACAGAAGACCCCACCCTGGTCTCCTGTACCACCACCAGCTCCTCCTCCTTTTCATCATCGCTTAACACCTTCGGGTTTTCTTGGCTTTTGGTTGCTTCATGAGTCCTCAAGAAATCTGACCTCCCCACTGGTGCCCAGTTCTCTATCGAAACTTTTAGTGGGTTCTCTGAATTCACGTTCCCCGTCTGCTCTCTGTCTTGGGAGTCGGGTGTGGTGGCAGTGTTTTGGGGGTTGGGTGTGGTGGTAGTGTTTTGACGATCTTGTATGGTGGCAATATTTTGGGGATCTTGTGTGGTGGCAGTGTTTTGGGGATCGTGTGTGGTGTCAGGATTAAGTGGGGCGGTATTAGTGGAAGCTTTCTTCGAGTTAGTTCCAGGTGACACTTCATTAACCCAGGATAAGATTGAGGTCGTGTCAGGACCATCAGCCAAGACAGAGGTCGGGGCGTACAAACACAGTCCGGCCACCAGTAACACCAGGGGTGGGGTCAAGATGTCTGCTGGCGAACAGAATAATACGGTTAGAAATGTAAAATGATACAACATACAGTGAAACACTCCCACCTGATTCTCAAAAAAATTGTACGGTAGATTTTACTTGCAGATACGGCAACATAACGCACCTAGACATGATTGAGTTCTCACTGCTGCAATATTTCGTTTTGTATGCCATCATTTTGCTTTATATCCGATAGATGCGTTCCTACATCTCCAGTAACGGGGAAAATATAACTCATGAATCTTTGAGAATCATAATTCCTTTCGAAAACTCACTACTTCCCCGCCCATAATGGCTTGAAGGTATGGTTGTGACGGAAGAACCTACCAGTCATGGTTTCTTTCTTAAGGGTTAACTCTTCAAGACTCTTACTAAATATAGATGAAGAAGGTAAATACGCGTTAGATTAGAACCTTTGATCTTTCTCATTCACTCATCAATATTTTCATCCATCATGAATGGCTTAGATTTTTGTCCCCCAAGATGACTTAACATTTAACTTCTATATGATCAATGATTCTGCTACACTAGAATTTATTTAGTTTTTTTTTTAATTCAAAGAGATAGTCTGTTCTTATCACTTGATCTCAGTATCTTCCCTTCTTCCTCGCCGTCACCCACCTCGTCGTCTCTCCTCATCCTCTATATTGGTACATATAGTTCCACACAAACTCACTTATTTACTAGATAGTTTCCATACAATTGACAGCATCAGGAAATCAACCTAAACCGCCTGGCTTTTTAGAGGTATGTGTGTGTCATATGTATCAGAGAGGGAATTAGCTCTCAACCAGTTTTTTTCCCCAACGTTGATCTAAACCATACTTACCGAAGACACAATAGCACGATCCTTTAGCCATTATGACTTGTCAGGTTTTTCTATATTGAAAGAGTCGCTCTTGGTTCCTCGAAGGTTGGTAAGTCGGTGCAGGGAGTTGTTCTCTGGATGCCTCTCTGGGGGGAATTCAGCTGAACACATTGATGGGCCGTAACATATACCACTGGATGGAGTTCTTGACGTCACGCTTGATTACGATAAGAATGATTAATTCGTTATATTCTCCCCTCCCCTGATTATCTTGTCTTAGTTAATTGTAAGAATTTATTTTTATATCCCATTATCTTTGGAATAATTTATACATCAAGAAAACCAGAGTGTGCATTAATTTTTTGTTCTTAAAGTAAACTTATATTTACTGGGGTTCAGCAAATATTCTGGTCAGGTAAGACGACTCCAGATCTGGTAAGGCAATTATATAGGTCACTCAGCACCTCTATACAGGTCATCATCCTTCAAATTAATACACAGACCCTCCTGGAAATAAGCACTTGACAGCTTTATCCTATGTCAAATTGCCTTACTGCTTACCAATGTTGTTCACCTGCACTGCCTTGGGCTCTCGGCACACGTGAGACTGTATACTCCAGGACCGACGTGCGCCGTATACCTACATGGTCTACAGTATATTCATGCTGAACTCTATACCTGCATAGTTTATAAAGATGCCTATACAATTGTAAATCTGTATGCAGTGACTGAGTTCATAATATTATTCAATTTGAAGGAGAGGAAGTATATAAATCAGAAAAATTTACAAAGGGATAAGGCATTGCCGTCTTGATCTCTCGCCAGATAAGCTGGATAACCTTGGGAGCGGCCGTCAATGAATACCCCAGCCGCAGTTAGTCAGCCCACACGCCATATCTACTGACCAGTCTGATGGATATGTTAGCGAATGAGGAAGGATTTTACACCAAAAGCCAAACGGAGACCAAATGTTGACGGCTCTTGTTGATCTCTCTCTCTCTCTCTCTCTCTCTCTCTCTCTCTCTCTTGCGTTCATAAATTCACGTCATACCTGTCAAGATCCTCTGTGTGTCTGACCAGCTAATTCGAGGGTTAGTTAAACGAGAGGTTAGGTTAGCATAGGGATCACTAAATTTAGATTAGGACTATGCAGGGATAGGAGAGTTAGGGAAGTTTAGAGTATAGTTTGGGAAGGTTAGCGTAGGGTTAGGGTAGGGTTGGGGAAGGTTAGGGTATAGGGTTGCAGGTTAGGAAAGATTAGGATAGGTTTAGGTATTATGTGGAAATGGAATAGCATTTCATGGGTAACCTCTAAAGAGTTGTTGTTGTTGTTGTCACCATCATTATCATAATGAAAGCATAACAAATGATAAAAATGGTTAAAAATGGCAACTGAGAAAATCTCGAAAAAAGTTTACAAATCCAGAGATAACAAGAGTGACTATCTTAATTCTCCTGTTATCAAATCCTTGTTTCCGGGATGATAATGAACATGTTGATAATAAATTGTTCTCCTTGTGATATAAACCAGCGATAACGGCGAGCCGAGAGGACTAAAAAGGTCTGATTATCTCTGGCAGTGTGATGTTAGCCTCACAGGTAGCCCCCCCCCCCACCCTCAACCCCCTGCCAGGTGATCCAGATTAATGTGATGATGTAACTTCCTCGTCGCCGTTCTCTAACAGCTCAGTCTGCCTTGCGTGTCTTGCCTGCTCACATATACCTACATAATTTCACTGAATAGAGTATTTTTATTGTTCACAGAACTACCAGACACTGCAACACAGAGGTCGAAAAGTTATTGTAGCTTTAGGTGAGTCTATGTGAATCAGACAGCTTCACCCTGTGGAGTCTACCTCAATGCTCGGGGACCGTAGGACTAACCAGAGGACTTGACAACACTGCTGTAAGATCTGTAGGTTTTAAATGAGGTTCAGTTTGGTTGTTTGTCTTCAATAGGATTTTCAAACTCACCTTCCCTTGCCTCCCTTCCTATGGACCTGCATTCTTTGCGTTAAAATAGCATGGAATGATCATGTAAAACAAAATCATGATATAATACGGCGGAACCAAACTGGGCAGTTATTCAGTGAGTTCTGTGTCATTAGATTTAGTCTGTAAGTTGTCTTTATCAGTTACCATTATGGGTTTGGCTTAAAGGTTCCTGCTGCCATTGCTACCAAGATATCTTAAATGTTGGTCAACACTTTTCTTTGTAGTTAGTTGGTTGTTGTACTCAGAGGATCGATTACACTTACAGTATAATGTGTGAGCGTGTGATGATGAGGTTGGCTTGGGCGGTTCACGACAACTTGTTTTTTACACAAGTTAGTGTTTAGTGTCTTGCAGTTTGTTCTGTTTGTGACAGAAGGTTGATGAAGAAATTAAAGTTAGTCATAAATTATACTTCTTTGCAGACTGGGTCTAATAAATACGAACTTTTTCAACTCATTCAACAGTTTATATGTTTATCACCAAATCTTAATGTTGATGTGAGTGTAATAGATAGATAGACAAATAAACATTACAAAAACTATAATACATGCAGGGAAACTTCTGCCAAACTTCAGGTGTCACGAAGAAACACAAAGTCTCTCACATTCCTTTTTCCTTGATCGGACTCCCGTCTGTAAATAACTTGCAGACTGCGAGTGACGAGGTTATCTGGCACGAGTCCCTGAGTTAAGACACAGTCCTTGAGATAATCCAAGATTCCCTCTAAGTAACGTGCTGTACTATCCACTTGCGTCATGTAGGACCCTCTGTAGAAGACTTGGTCGAGGAAGAGGTGCTGGAGAGCTATGACGTAGTGTTGGAGGAGCGAGAAGGACTTCACCAATTCGGAGTTAAAGTCACCAGCGTTGTAGGAGGTAAATTTAGGGACAACTGGAAGGTAGGGTTCCAGGATGTACACGTCAGATGTGGTACACTCCGCCCCGTCCTCCTTGTTGCACGTCTTGGGTGGATTCTCCTTGTCAGCAACAGTCCACCTCTTACCATATGTTCCCATTACCTATGAAAAAGAACGACCTATTTTGAACTTCTGTCTCTACATGTGATTTTATTTTTAATATTTTCTCAGTAAGTTCTAATTGATGTTTTAATCACCCATATGTAGTAATTATTAGATATTTCTATCTTTAAGACTAACTAGTGATGCCATGGTATTAATTTTATCTGCCGGATTTCGTGTTCTAAGTTTAAACACTTACGTACCTGATCCTTTACAAGAGTAAAATCTTAGTGTTAGAAATTCTTAAAAAAAGATAATAAATAAATACTTACAAATTTGTTTTTAAAACCGTTTATATAACTGAGACAGACGCTGATCTTGTTGCGAATGTTGCTGGCCATGGTTGTGGTTGTGTCAGTAGCAGAGCTCACATTAAGACCTGCTTCCTGTACCCCAGACGATGACGGCGACGCTGGGGATTTGGATCCTTCCTGGTCCGGTGGGGACTTGGATCCATTTAGGCCAGGAGAGGATTTCGACTTACGTATACCAGACGAGTCTCTTGATCCTAATGTATGTCTTTCTGTGTCGAACGACGCCAGATCCAGGGGGACTGTGAGTTTACTATCGCTGGGGTCAGAAGTGGAGGAAGTGTGGCTAGGGTCAGAGGTGGAGGTAGTATGGCTAGGGTCAGAGATAGGGGTGATGTAGCTGGGGTCAAGGGTGGCCTGGGTAAAGCCGAAGTTGTGTGTGGTCACGTTGAAGACCACTAACAGGAGGACCAACTTCATCCTTGCTGGAGATAAACAATAAGACGTAAATAGATCTTTAAATGCGAAATTTGTCAGATGTTCATCTCGGTGTAAAACTGAGTGGGTTTTGTTTTTCGCCCGACTGAATTTCTTACAATAGGAAAGCAACCGGGGATTTGGACAAGTGATGCAGGAGATGTCAACATTGCTTATATTTCCGAAGAGAATGTGTGAGTGGCTAAGTTTACTTCATGCTACAGAAACTTTTGTTCAATCAATTAGATCTAAACGGATTCCGTGAGTATCGTTATTTTTTGGTTTTACACACACACACACACACACATGTGTTTACAGTACTCGCAGATAATGAAGGTTAATACCTGCAGGTGCTGTTCTTGACTATCGCAAAGATGATGTTATGTTGATGTTGAGTGTTTTCACTGAACTGACAGAAGCTTGGTCTGTCGCCTCTCAGGTACTGGGAGTTGTTCACCAGGTGAATATCTGGTAACAAACTTGTCACTATGTTAAGCGTGGCAGCTGAACCGACCGAAATTTGGCGTATGGCCGAAGTGTGGTTCAAACAGCGACAACACGAACATTTATACCCCAGAAGTCCTGGAGATAAGGAAATCTATTAATGACATAACAAATTTTTGTATGACGATTCTGCCGACGTGGTCTCGTAACTGGGATTACCGGCTCTCGGTCCTTCATGCAGTGAGTCGTATATCAAACAGTTGTGTGGAAGGGTTTCGGTAACACGTTTTATTACTCGGTGACGAAAGATTCGCACTGTGAAATTTTTGGGGGAACAAGCACGTTGCTGGTCCTGACAAGTTCACACTCAGCTCTCGTCGTGAGTCATGCTGTGTGTGTCATGAACAAATATTTTTTACCAGCATTATTACCATGCATCAAGGAATAGTTGTTGGTGTTGTTTAAAGTGTCCCAACAGTACGAATTATTAAGTACCGTACACTAGTTATGTCGTATATGGCATTTGCGAAGAAGTTAAAGGCGCTTAAACTGGTATTATTTGAATACATTTACAGTATGTGCTTCGACGGTCTGTCTTTCCGCATCTTTCACTAAGTCTTTCAACACTAGAGAACAACTTTTAAAATCTAAGAAAGTTACTCTGTCTGCTCACAAAAACTATTCCTTCCTTTCTCCTGAAACAGTCATGTAATATGATTTACTTCGCCATATCGTCATTGGTGTTAAGTCACCAGAATGATATTTAAATCTTATAATTCTTTTGTGTGTTGTTTTCAGGGGCAGAAACCATCTGCTTCTTCCTCAGCGAGAAGGGCAGCAAGGAGGGCTATTAGTTCCGCCTGATTGGAGGATGCGCCGTCAGAAACTCTGAGAGACAGTTTGATAGTCTCAGGGGCATCAGGACGGGAGATGTAGACACCAGCCCCGGCCCGACCTGTAGCGGGGTCAACAGAACCATCAGTGTAGAGGACGACCCTACCTGGGGACCAGTGAGCGATCCTGGAGAGGTGGAATTTGCAGAGAATGTTCACGTGGGATTTCGGGAGCGGTCCACCGAGGGCATTCACTTCAGGTTGAAAATCCAGCCAGGGAGAAGGAGACGAACCAACAGCAGGGGTTCACTTGGATCTTTGGTTGTATATCGTAACGTGCGTATTTCTCTCCTACAAGTCCAGGGTTCGAATCGCCTCAGGTTTAAATGTATGTCTGACGTAGCACGATTTCCGGTTTTCGCCTGCACCAACATTGGATAAACTAACCACCCAGATGGCTTGTGTCCCGATATCAGGTGTTCTTATATATGGTAAACAAAAATACTCAGCCTCTGGATGCGCCCCTGGTAACTACGCCACTAGCGACTACGCGAGTATTATCATTTTATATTTAGCCTTTCATCCAGAGGTTTGCCACTGAGGGAATTAGTATGACTGAACATTCATAAATAGTAAATGAGGAACTCTGAGGTAGGTTATTATAGCACGGGGACGAAGCCATGATGAGGGGTGAAATGAAACCTAACCTAACCTCACCCCAGTAAATCAAACCAAGTGTGTGTGTAGTGATGATGAATTGTCTTATAATAACTGGGGATCATTCAGTCATCATCATTATTCATCATCACCATCATTATCATCATCATTCATTATTTATCATCATTCATCATCGTCGTCGTCATCACATATACGCCATCATTATCATCATTCATTATTTATCATCATTCATCATCATCGTCGTCATCACATATACGCCATCATTATCGTCATCATCCCCATCATCATCATTCATCATCATCATCATTATCATCATCATCATCATCATCATAATCATCATCATCATCACACACACCACACATTACCACCCCTGAGCCCTCTCCCCCGCCCGCCTTCACTACCAGCAGTGTCAGTTGGTACAAATTAGTGGTTATTTCGGTTCGATTACGCCATTTTGTAGATTTTCTCATAAAAACAAATCTATCGTAATATGCCAAATAAAAATCTTTGTTTGGTATATGCAAAAAATTCTAATTATCTACATGACATTACGTGAAATTTATTCAGACTGTATTCATCATGCAGAACCTCTACCTATGGGAATATGTCAACCTGTCGTTTGTATTATGAGTTCTGAGTGGCTGGTCACCACAAAGGAAGCGCTGAATCTGTATCGAGAGTTCTGAGTGGCTGGGCACCATAAACGAAGCGCTGAATCTGTATCGAGAGTTCTGAGTGGCTGGGCACCATAAACGAAGCGCTTAATCAGGAGTCGAGCTTGGAGCCACATTTCTCTGAACCATCTGTGATTTTTGTTGATCATCTGAATAAATAACGCTTCCCATTATTTCCTGCAGAAGCAACTCAGTTTTTCTGTTAGTGAGCATTTACATGTAATATCCAGTCCTTATCATTACAAGAGCGTCGGTTAGATAGAAGTTTCGATCGGGTGGTTCAGTGTCTGGGAGTCGAGCTCTCAGTTGTCACTTTGGAAGATATCAGTAGTTTCTTATGGTGTCAAATTAAGCAAAACAAATATGGCCACGCCAGCCATCCGATTAAGTGTTATTACTAAGGCTCGCAAGTGACGCTTTATATCATATGCTTCAACACCACAAGAGCGTAAGTTCGTACTGGAGATGGTTCAGTGTGTGGTGGAGATGTGGATGAACTTTAGACCAGGGACAGCCAGACGTGGAGGGAGGGAGACGGCCAGTAGCGAGACGGTCGAGGTGATTAGTGGATGTGTGACGAAAGTTAACGTTTACAAAATGCTCCTAAATTAATACATCCAGTTGTCAAGGATTATAAAATACAGACGCCATCATGTGTGTGTTGGTGTTGAAAAATATAAGGTATGTCGCTGTGTATATTTCCCTTACAACTTATTTCTCTCTCCAATCTACGTCAATTCGATAGCCCATTAATTGTATAGAAATATTGATGACTGAGACTTAATTATACTGAATGATTTTGACAGCTTCACTGGGTTATAAATCCCTTTCAACGTGATTTGGTTGTAGGAGTTTAAGGTTAGGTACCACGCTGATTAACCCGACCTTCTCCCCTAGACCATTATCCGGTTTAGCATTTATACGGAGTCCTTTAACACGGCTTTAGAGGATTATGAACATTAGATTAACACCTAATCGTGTCCATGATCAAACCTTATAAGTGGCTGTTCCCAGTCGGCGTAATAGAGATGTCTCAACTGTGTACATTATGCCTTCAGCCTTCATTGGTGTATTCATAAGTGTTCTAAGTGGTCTATGATTGTCGGGAACAAAATGTAAACAGCACTTTTAGGCTAAAACGTATGTAACAATATAAGCAACTAACCACTCAGCGCAGCCAAACTCAGCTCGACATTAGCCACCACGTGAAGATTAGGCACCCAATCAGATTTTACTTGTTATACACAGAAGTGCCACTTTTGGTGGGGGGGGGGGGGGTGTTAGGGTAGTTAATCTTCAGGTGATATAAGATGGGCTGGTGCCATATCATCGTGATTTCATAATTTTATCTTGTTTAAACCAAACACGATTTCTATGAGCGTTTTAAATCCCAGTGTAAGAGGCGGTGTTACCTGCTTCACCTGACAGTCAAATATTGTAGCCAGGAACAATCAGATCCATCTTGAGTACATCAGTTGGTCACTGTGGAGGAATGGTGGTGGTGGGGAAGTGTCAGTGGTGGTGGCGGTGGGGAAGTGTTTATAGTGGTGATGGTGGTGAGGCAGTGTTTATAGTGGTGGTGGCGGGTAAGTGTCTGTGGTATTGGTGGTGTGGAAGTGTCTGCAATAGACCGGTTGACCTGTGCATGGTAGCTCCTGTCGAAAGTTACTACCACACTCTTATCATCCATGAATCGATCTAGCTTTCTTTTAAAATTTTCCAGCGTTCCAGCACTTACTACAAAGTTGCTAAGCTTGTTCCACTTGTCCACCACCCTGTTTGTGAACCAGTTCCTTCCTATCTCCCTCCTAAACTTATCCAATTTAAATCCGTTGCTACGAGTCCTATCCTGCTCGGATATTATAAGAACTTTATCTATATCTCCACTATTAATTCGTTTCACCCCCTTAAATACTTGTACTTCACCACAATCACTTCACTATAATCATTTTGCCACAATCACTTCACCAAAACCACAATCACTTCACCATCACAACAATCACTTAACCATCACCACAATCACTTAACCATCACCAAAATCACTTCGCCACAATCGCTTCACCACCGTCACCACAATCATTTCACCATCACCACAATCTTCATCATCACCAAAATCACTACACTATCACCACAATCATAATCACTTTAAATGTATCTTATAAAAACTAACCCACATTATAGAAATATTGCCCAGGCGTTTAGTATCTTAACCGCGGCTCATAGGCTAGTTACCGTGGGTGATGTAATTATATAAACATAATGTTTGTAGCCCACATTAATATAAGTATTACGGTCTGTCTGACGGGCTAATACATTATTATAATGTACCATCCATTTCTATATTTATCATTTTTTTAAGTTGTTCAGGTTTTAATCACCAGTAATTAGATATTTATAATAACGTAGATATGAGGATAAATATTGAAAAATACGTGGGTGGAAATCACATTTACTTTTAATATTTACCAACACAGGTCATACAGAATATCAATAGCCTGTCCAATGGCCTCCCTTTTATATAGCCCCCTGGAGCCTTCTTGGGACTGAGGCACAAGGTTATATAGGTGGTTGGTTCCTCACAAACTGCTCACACTCGTCCTGGGTGTGTAGGAGGAGTCGGGACCAGTGTTTAGCTTGTCTTCAGGTTCCCACGCGTTCACTATCTGGGTCCAAATGGT